GAGGGGCGGGGCTTCGGGGGGGGAGCCGAGCCCGGCCCGGGAATCCTAGCAGCTAGAGTGCGGGGTACCTAGGCCCCTCACACTGGACTCCACAGTCTCCGGGCCGCCTGATTTCCGCACGGGTATATGGGATGGAAGCGGGACCCTCGGGAGCAGGTAAGGGCCCACGGGAGGGGGGAACGGTGCGTGCTCCAAAGGACCAGGGGACTCCCGCCTGAGGAGCTGGATTTCCGAGTGAGGAAAGGTTTCCTGAGTGAGGAGAGGGGCTCTTATGGGATGGGGGCCCAGTTTGAAGGGGGCTGTGTGTAGTTCCGGGGAAAACCTTGTGAAGGGAGCTCTGAGATGGGGGCCGTTTGTCAAAGGAGGCTCTATCCACTCCTAGAGGTGAGAAGTAATCTAGGAGAAGGGCCTGAACACACGTAAGGACTCTCGGAGATGCCTGGAGGCCTAAGGAGAGTCCCGGCAGGTGGCAGGAGGCGGACTCCAGGTGTCCTGGAGAGGAGGAGGTCCATACAGATGGGCCCTAGCTGTAGCATGCCGGGGCGGGGGTTCAGCCAGTCTGGGCTGGGCTAGTGTCCCTTGGGAGAAGGCGCCAGACCTGGACTGTGAGCTCCGCCCAGCCGGGCCTGACGCGGGGGCGAGGGTCAGGGGGTGGTGGGTGGGGATCCAGCCTCACGATTCCCCCTCACCCCCCGCGAGTCCTGGGAGCCTGAGCAGAGGAGCCTGAGCAGAGGCACTCGAGCATGCGCAGAGGTGGCCGCTAGAAGGGGCTGCCCTAGGTAGTGGGGGCGTGGCTGCCCAAATTACCCCCACTCTCCATCCCGCGCGGTTTGGCTTGGGAAAAGGAGTGTGCTGATGGGGTGCATTCTCTCTAAGGTTATGCTGGCTGGGCGCAAATAGAAATGGTCCCCTTCCCCATCTTGGGAGTTCTTACACTTGGCCCGGAAAACACTCAGTCACAATTTGCCAAGAATGGGTTGAGGGAAACTGCTAAAGTGCCTTGCCTTATTTTGCCACTTGGATGAGGAAAGACTTGGACCGATTCAATGGCGGGTTTTCACTAAAGATAGGTCTTAGGAAAGGTGTTTGTTACTGAAGGATGAAGGGCAGGGCCAGGTTTACCTGGAAGAGGTTGTCTGCCTGGTTTGCACGTTTCTGGTCCAATACTGTAGAGCCGAGGTTGCCAAGCTAGCCTTTTGTCACAAATAAGTTGTTTGGGGCATGGACCCTGGTGAGTCCCAGGTGATAGCCTTAATTTCTCCTTGTTCATGAGCAATCAGGAATAAAGGAGATAAGAACAGAGGAGAAACTGAAGCTGGGCTTTTCCAAGAAGACTGGAGTCCCCAGGTCAGGTTGTGGGTTGGTGGCACTTTGGTGGAAGGAGCAGTCTAGACCTGGGAATCCTTTAGGCAATATCTCACCTCCTTCCATTTGATCTGGAATGGTAATAGGATTTTCATTTGGGACATGAATTTTATATCTGGTGGAAGAATTTTTTTCTTTTATACCAGATCTAATCTCAAGGGAATAGCTTTTACCAACTCATTCAAGTCATTCATTCAGTGATCTGTAAGTACTTTCCCCCAAGCAGAAAATAACCTTATAAAGTCTGTAAAGGTCTTAAGGTGAAGTGCAGGGAGCTTCAGAAAATTACTTCCTCCTTCTCTCAAGTCCATCTCTCCATTCCAGGAACTCTCTTGGTTTTCTAGGCTGGAGACTATTTGCAACAACCTGTGGACTAGAGTAAGAGTAGGTCACAGAGGTTCAGATAGATTGCCAGGAGCTGACACCCATACCAGACTGCTAATGGTTTTATTCTGATGAATTCCTAATGGGTGCTAGAGTGATGAAAAAACTGACTTGTTTGATATAAGAAATAGGCTTTTAGGAAAGGGACTAGAGCTTGGTATTTGGAGTTGGCTGTAGCCTAGTGGGACAGGCTTTGCCTCATTAGAGGGTGTAATTGAAATTCATTCTGGAAGCTGTGAATGAAGGTACCTCATTACTCCCCCTTGCTAAGCCCTGTCAACTCTCATGGAAGTTGGAGGACATAATACTCAAAACTGAAGTATTGTTGTTGGCTTCACTGGGCTTATGTTCAAGTGTGCCTTCTGTGCTCAGGTGTGTTCCAAGCACATAAACTGGACTGATTTATCTGTGGAACCAGCAAGTGTTTAGGCCCTGAAACAAAGTATATGTTTATTAATTAAATTGAATCACATTTGTGACATAAATTGTTAAGCACATAGTTGGATACTTAATACAGGTACTCTGTGTATGCTCATGTGTGGACAAATTCTTTTTGGAGATATTGGCCTCTTAGTATTTGCTTCCTGATAGCTAACCTAGCCTTGAATTTGTCTTTTGAATAGGCAGTCTGCTTCTTGGGAGGTTGTGGGCCTCTGAACTGCAGGGAAGGAATCCCTGAGCCAAGCCTTTCAGCTCTGTTACTTTTTCTTCTCAGGGCTGGTTGGGGATGGGGGAGGGGGAGTGTCCTTTTCACAGCCCCTCCCTCCTTGCTTTTGTCTGCAAGGAAGGACCCCGCCCCTTTCCCCCAAGGCCCAAGCTTTGTCCTCTCTGCTGGGGCCCTCATCTGCATCACAAAGTGGCCGTCTGTCCCTGTCTGGGTCTGAAGGGAAGTGTCTCCCTTTCTCAGACTAAAAACT